GCAGCTTAATGTGACATTTTCATTTAAAAAAGATAAAAAGATGGGAAAAACACAAAAATTGTCTAAAGTATAAATGGATTTGCCCATCTGAGAGATTTGACAGTTTGTCACATCTAAGTCTCTGTAATCTCTCCACTCTTGCAAGCTATTCAAGACAGCCACCAAGCCTCAAACGCTGCACAGCACACGTTCCACTCTTTTGTTCAGCAAGGGGTAATTACACAAGACTGTGGCTGGATGTTAGGCATGTTAGGCCCACTGGTAGAGTAACTAAAACCCACAATGTAGGTTCACAGCATTGCCAGGCACAACAAAACATTTGGTTTTACACAAATATTTGCCAGAAGCAATAAAATGCATATTTGATAATACTACTGCATTTGTAAGAGCAAACCAAAATACAGTCATTTGAAGACAGAGTGCAAGAAGGAAACACAGGGGGGAAAAATTCACATAAAATTTAAAGGGACTAAGTACCAATCTATCAGAACAGGTTTTGTACTGCCTCTACTGTACTGTTCAGACACTCTCTTGACTATACACAGGAAGGCAGCAAAGAGTCCATAATCCAGTAATACGTGCTAGGTATCATGCTAGCACTTCACAGCCTTAAGTAAATCTGGGTTTATATATTTCTTAATACAGAAGAAACATCACTCCCATTCCATAGGTCAGGGAAAAAAAAATTTTAAAAATCGAATCAAGAAAACGTGAAACCGAGAAGTTCACCAAAAACTTCAAGATTTGAGAGTGTATATTTTCTTTCATAAGCTATGTAACAGTCTTTAGACACTCTTAAAACAAGGGGAAAGGCACTACCAGAGCAGACCACAGCTGGCAGAGGGCATAGGGTCTCCCACAAACCTGTCCCTTAGTCACGGGACTGGGTGAGCGTGCAACTAAATCCCAGAGCAGCATGGCTGTTGCCAGTTCCTGCTGGCTCGCTTATTTTCCACTTTTAGGGTTTCAGACTGTCAAAGCTGTTCAGTGCCAGCACAGTTTTTCTACCCATTACATGACAGAGCTCAATCACAGGAACCACTGCGGAACTTTTTGCGGATCAGGATTCAGGAAAGCTACCAAGTGGTCTGTCCCACCTTTGAATCAGGCAATACTTTCCTCCTCATAACAATTCCAAAAACTAATTCACCCGTACCCCAGTAATACTGATGCACAAGGCCGGGATTTAAGTTCAGCCTGCATGGAACCTCAGCAATTGCCAGGACAGACTGAAAGAGCAACTACACAAATGAAGAAAAACACTTGGAAAAAAGAGAATCTGTAACCTCACAAACACCTTCACGGGATGTCTGCACCTTTACTCTAGGCAGTGACCGAGTTTTGACAAACTTGTATTAAGCTGCTGTAACCTGAAAGAGTTACTGTGCAGTTCGCTCCAAACAACAGCACTGGCAAGAGTTTTCTTTGGAAAACGAACACAAACCCAGCCCTGCCACACCAAGAGCCACAAAGAGCCACAGAAGAGACAAGACCGAGAATGTACCTTGATGGCACAACACATCTGCGGCTGATGCCGGTACTGAGAAAAAAGCCCCACTAAACTCCACGTTCAAAGTTCTGACCATGCTCAGCACCTTTTTACTGGCAGTAATCTAGACAAAAATATTAACGAGGAGTTGTTTTCAAGGTATGACAATTCTGCTTTGGCCAGTTTTTGTGGTTTACAAATCACCTTTTCACAGTTTCTATTATACTGCGGTTCGAGCCGGGGGGAAAAACCCGTGTACAAAGAACAAATCAACCCCGGCGTACGAGTCAACATCTGAAACGCTGAGAGCCTGCCTTTCATCCTAAAAAAACGTGGCGTGAAAACACCCGTGCGCAACAATCACTGTTAAGTAACACCTAGATACGCAACCTACTTTCAGCCAGCGCTTGCCTTTTGCCATTGAGGGGAGGAAA